AAATCCTTAAACAATGTTCTCAAGAAAAGCAAAAGTGAGAACTCGCCAAGAAGTCGATCCACGACCTCTTGTTCGTCGGCCCGGGCCGCTGCCACTGCACTATCTCGCTTCATAACTACGTTCAGAGAATCGTTTCGCAGATTTGGAGAGCAGATTCGAGATCAGCGTCCAAAAACACATCTAGTGGTGTATGTCTCGTTACAAATGGCCACTTCGACCTGGTATCCTTCCCTTGTAGATAGACTTCGTCCAAGACTTTTTCAGATTTGATTGAATACTACTAGCGCGAAAAAAAAGCATTCAGTTGAACATTAGCTCGTTCCAGAGAGCCACATCCAGATTACATCGCGTCAAGAGTCTAAATGGACGTGGAATTTGGGCACAGGGATTGAGTACGACTCACAAAGGAGGTCGTTCAGGGTGTGCCAAGCTTTTTCAAAATGGTTTGCATGACATAGGGGCACATGCGGGAACCACAGAACCATGGTTCATTTTTCCTGAACGGCCCTCTGAATACCAGAAAAGGGGTCCCTAGTTCGATTCCTCGTGGTGACAAATTTTTGCATTTCGAGTTGACGTTTCAAAATTCGCGCAAAATGGAGTTAGCATGAATAATTAGTACCATATTCATGATTAGGACCGTCAGTAACCCTTAAAATAGACTTTGATTAAAAACTGGTGAAAAAGGTGTGACACCACAGTGGGGCTGCTTGGTGTCACACCTTTTCACCAGTTTTTTAATCAAAGTCTTTTTGTAAGGGTTACTGACGGTCCTAATCATGAATATGGTACTAATTATTCATGCTAACTCCATTTTGCGCGAATTTTGAAACGTCAACTCGAAATGCAAAAATTTGTCACCACGAGGAATCGAACTAGGGACCCCCTTTTCTGGTATTCAGAGGGCCGTTCAGGAAAAATGAACCATGGTTCTGTGGTTCCCGCATGTGCCCCAATGTCATGCAAGAAACCATTTTGAAAAAGCTTGGCACACCCTGAACGACCTCCCTTGTAGTGCTCTATCAAAAGAAAACGCTTCTAAAGGGAACGACATAACGAAGAATAAAGACATGTGTCGAAAAGAGGCACTAGGCCATGAAAGATACATGGACGGCACGATTTGAAACTCGAATTTGGAAGAGAATTCACCGAAAACGAACAAGAATAACAGCGTATACGAAGACAACAAAATAGCTAGCGTTATACTGCTTGATGGCTTCGAGACAGAAACGAGAACAATGATGTGATGGAAGGGAGAAAGATGGGTAAGCAGAGATGTAGAGGATGTCATTGACAATTTGTTTAGCCGATGGAACTATGGCTGTCACTGCGTAGTAAGGCCATGATGCGCAGATTCCCTCCGTTCTAGACGCGCTCACCTGCGGGCCTTGAAAGTATCATAGCAGTAAGATTTCCAAATCGAACCGTTAGCCATTGTTCGATTTTCTTTTTACCTGTACTATTGCATCGGTCATCTACGCGGCAACAGAGCATCGATCATCGTAGCAATTATGCCAGTGTATAAATTCACCAGAGACCTCTAGCTCAGCAGTGTCTCGAAATGCATGGCGAAAAGAGGGACCACTTTTCGGGACTCACCGCTTCTTCTTAAAAATAATGATGCCTATACTTCGCAAACGTATCAACTATTGACGAGAGCTGCTTAATGACGGTAAAGGACAGGAAGGAGCCACGTGGCCGACAATTAGCGAAGAAGTGGCAATAAGCAATGGCTAACAAAATGATGTGTTAACAACTAAAAACGACATAATATGTAACAGTTAGCTTTTAACTCAGTATAACTTCGTATAATGTATGCGCGCCTCTGCCGGTTATTTTGGAATTAAGTGGTGGCCGAAATGGACGAGCCAAGAAATCATTCATAACCAAAAATTCGTCCACCAAAATGACATGCAATAAAAATGTTTGACCTCCATAACATTCAAGCATCTTGCCCTCACGCTGTGTATTGACACCTTTGCAATGGAAAGCTGTTATACGAAGGGAAAAACACGTCAGTTCAAACTAAGATCGTCTCACACTATCGGTCTGGGAGCTTGCTGCTCGGCATAGGAACCAACACTGCATCAAGAGCATGTAAGATTACGCCTCGAAACATATAAGTACATTTGCAGCCAGCGTGCATCGCGATATGCACGTCCGAAACTCTCAATCTGGCATTTGGCATCGCGGATATGCAGCAGGTAATGACCAAAAAGCTATCAAATGTTGACAGCGCGAAATTAGTGGTGGTCAAAATGTTAAAGGTATTTTTGAATAGAACGAAAATCATGGACGCAACGCATATCCTAAGAAGATGAGCCGTGGCGGATCAGGATGCACAGCTTGAAAGGAAATGCCCGTAAGACACTTTAAGTTCAGTTCGCTTCAGGATTGACACCACCAATCATTAGATGTCACTCCAATATTATATGCTAATCAGTCACTCCTCCGAATTCTTCTACCGCTTTCTGGCTACGACAAAAGACAAGCACAACAAAAAACAAATAGAACGAAAAACAAGTTAAAAAAGGTTATTATTCGAACGTCTCCTTAGTTTAATTTTCTTTTTATCAGCGGGAAGAAGGAAAAATCTAATTATTTAACTTGCTTTTACTGTACATGTCTTCCTGACAATTCAATCGCAATGATAAAACTGCATCAAAATACACGTCCGGTTCGAACACAAATGAGAATGGATTATTTACCGGAAAGTTTGCCCAAGTATTGGCCCCACGAAGTGGTTTGTGGAGGAGGATGAAGCACGGAGAGGCAAGTCAGCGTCTCTGCTATTCCAACCAAAAGCCATCAATGTGCATGTACTAACCCAGTAACGACCGCCACTGTATCATACCGTCTTTTTTCCCATTTTTTATCGGTAATTAGTAACTCTCCAAAAATATTATTATTTGTAACGAATACATCGTTCCCCGATGGTGTATTCGGCTGCTTTGAAATGCGAAAAAAAATGCCAAATAAATTAGGTGAAAAGGGTCTCCGCTGAATGAAAGTGTGGCTCACGCGGTGGGTCGTCCATGGATTGATAGAGGAGGCACGCAGGCCTCTATGTTAAAGGTAGAGGTGGTCAGTGGTGCGGATGAAGAAAAAACCATAAGAAACGGCCCAGAACCCGAGAAATGGGACCCCTTCCTTGCCCGTTGATTTCCGCATTGATGCGACTCTCATCGGTGCTGCCCTCTTCAACGCTAACGCTCTCTCTGCTAAAAAGCCTGCGGCGAGTGGTTAGCCAGTCGGTGGGCGTGCCGCGTCGATAGCGGCGCGGGGACGGCCATGCTAGATCGCCAAGGGCATATCCTTCGCTGCGAATTGCGTGTCGGTCCGCAAACTCAGGGGTCCGCCTGTCCACTACGCGACTTTCCTATTCTTCGACTTTCGACCTTGTCGTGGAATCCTCCTTTGATTTTGTGAAGGGTGAACTGAACTTCAAAAAGAAGCTGCTTTCCATCGTGAGTTCTGCCTTTGAAAGCCGGTTCAGTTAGCCAACACGCACTGCATTAGAAAACATTCAGCTTTTACTAGACGCCCACCAAGCAATTTCTATATCTACAGATTCTCAACTTACAAGACATACTGTAGGCATACTGTAGCCTCTGGCAAGTAATTTCTCTGCTCAAGAGAAGGGGCAGCTTTCCAAAGGAGAACATTACCAAGAAGGTCACTTCTTCTGATCCCAGAAGTGGATCTTTCCAAACGGGTTAATTATAATTTTTCAAATATCATTTTAGCTGTACGTGAACCGCTTCCACATACTTCCACAGAATACAAAACGAATAATAATCAAAACCAATTTCATTAACATTAAAATAATCTCAAGTAAATTTCATAAATCTTCCATTGAGATAACACTTCAGAATCGATAAAGCGCTCACCGTCAGAGGAACAATAAGAAAGCTTTTCTGCCATTTTAACTTAAAACCAGACAGATTAATTAACAGATCAATGCTGCTTTATAAATCCTATACAAATAAAATTATAATCTTATTCAATTGAAGCAGTGATTTTTTTCTCAGCAGTACAATCGCATACCCAATATTTCACAATAAGAGATACCAAAGACACTCGTTCTAGGCAATACTATGCTAAATCGACTAGACTAAACAGCTCATAAATAATAAAAACAGTCAAAATCTCGCATCCCTGCCGATCTACATAAGCTATTGGCGACTAATTAGTCACGGTCACGTTCCGTTCAGCTTCGCGTAGTTTTTGCTCTTCCAAGCTCTTCAGATACCTGAAAATAATCAGAAGATTACTAGACAGTTTCAAACCATTGTCGGTCAACAGGCGAGCCACCGTTTAACTGAGTGAGCAAGAGCGCGAGAGAAGTGTTCCGACGCACAGCGACTTCCACTGAGAAGCACAATACCACTTCTACTACGGCAAGACGGCGTAGAATACACCTTGGAAGCAAGTCAAGTCTGTTTAGCACTCCAAAATTTTCCGGGTGATTTTTCCTCGAAGGTACGTGGTTGCGTCGGCTACGGGGTTTTTCACATTGTGACATGAAAGTGGATGTCGTTAAGGTAGAGATCTCTTAACAGCCGAATGCCGTTGTATTATGTGTTTGAAGACATTACCCAGATTTAAATAGCAGACAATTTCGCCCGCGAATGATGTGCTGGGTTCTGCCAACGCGAAATGATTTGGCACTTCGCGCATCCAACGACGGTGACAAGTAGGACCAATGAGTCCAACGACTTGCAAGCATGGGCACTTCAAGTAAGCACAAAAATTATCGTTACTATCTGTATTTCGCTCCTTGCCATGACCTCTAATGGAGCGTTCATGGTTGGCGATAGTAGTACGATTAGGCGAGTAGGCGAGTAGTAGTCGATCAGGCGAGAAAGTGAGTAGACGATGAGGGACGGTTACGTATTGACTTGTTGCTACGCCCATCGAGCAATCGCCTAATCACCTACTCGCCTAATCGCTTAATTTATACGTATATTTTTCATTATAGACTAATCGCCCCGAATTGCCTAATCGCTTAATCGCACGCACGATTGCCAACTCCGAACGCTCCATTTTTAGACCGCTGTAGGTAAGGATAACCGAACAGAATGTTTGTTGCGCGCGAACGAAATAGGAGATACGATAGTAGGCGATTGGGATGATCAGGATAGAAGCAGATTAAAGTGTATCGGGGCGCTGATAAGATAAGAAACAGGTATCGATTGGGAATCGCTTTGCGTCGACAGCAGATGGAGACTTCAGACAAAACATATCCGACTGGTCTCTAATCGTGTCAGCGCACTATCCTAGGTCCTTACGGGAGTGCCGTCATATGGCGCGATCCCATTGGCATTGGAGCGCACAGGACCGTAATTACCACGTTCTGCTGTGGCCGGACAACTCGTCCGCGCAACACATTCTGTTCCGTTTATCTTGCCTTGGCATCAGGCCAACGAAGCTACCCACTCTTTTTTTAGATCTTTGGGACTCAGCAAGATTTTTGAGGGCCCAAATTATCACATCGATCAATTGCTGAAGTCTAGGAGCCGTGTGATACGGACGAGTTAGTCCTGGATACTGTGCGCTCTAATCCAATAAGATCGCGCCATATGACCGGGTGCTTCCGGGCCGTTATGCTATCCTGCCCGAAGAGTTGGGGGCGAAAATTCCTTTAAATTTTCTCTGTCTTTCCCATGGGATTACCCTGATAAAAGGACCTACATTTAATGTATGTATGTAGGTAAAAGTAAACATGCATTGAAAATGAAGAAACTACATCGTTCAAAAGCAAATAAATTTAAAGGAAACTTTGGGTCATCTTGCTTCGGAGAGGGATAGCATACGGCTCAAGGAAATCTTCCAAGGGTCAATTAGTGTGGTTAGCGACATGGCTTTTTTCGTTAACTCCTGTTATTTTGAAAGAGATATAAGCAGATATCACAAGTTTCAGCGCTCATGTCCTTAGGAAAGTTCGAAACAGGGTACTCAAAAACTGCTGATTACTGACACTAGACGAATCCCAGGAGACGAGAGAGCGCCAGAGAGAATGAACTTGCAGTAGGTGTCAAGTGTTCGACTTTGCATGAATCTTGGCATGTTTTCAGAATAGAATAGTTTAGTACTGAGCTTCCGACCAAGATTGTCAATAGCTTTATTTGGCCGACGTTTCGGTGCTTTCACCTTCTTCAGAGCCTGGAAAAGTCGAAAGCTATTTAGGAAACTACCCGTCCAAACACTATTTCAACCTACAAGATTCATTCAACAGGGAGTAAACTACTAAAACAATGTCATGGAGGGAGATGAGAACGAACCTTTAGAGATGCTGGCCAGAGAGGTCCACCTGCCACCCCGAGCTGGTAGTAAGCCACGTTACTACCAGCTCGGGGTGGCAGGTGGACCTCTCTGGCCAGCATCTCTAAAGGTTCGTTCTCATCTCCCTCCATGACATTGTTTTAGTAAGTTTACTCCCTGTTGAATGAATCTTGTAGGTTGAAATAGTGTTTGGACGGGTAGTTTTCCTAAATAGCTTTCGACTTTTCCAGGCTCTGAAGAAGGTGAAAGCACCGAAACGTCGGCCAAATAAAGCTATTGACAATCTTGGTCGGAAGCTCAGTACTAAACTATCTTTTCTATTCTGAAAATGAAACTTGCAAAGTCTCCCTCTTGATCCCTTCCATCACTGCAGGGCTTAGCCCAACGTTCTCTGGCTGGCGCCACCCACTTGCAATGTCACTCTAAAACCGCGATCAATGAGCGCCCTCAATTTTCCCACATGCTTGTCGGGTCTGTAAGAACCCTGAGAGGTTTGACGGACATTACATCACTTGTTCCAATGTTACCAAAATGCCCCCCGTTTCTTGTGAAAGTGCTTAAACGTCTTCGCAACCACTATGTTCCTTTGCGCGAGCGTCAAATATCAACAATGTTAGAGCGGCAAACATACTTGAGCGCTCTCTTTGCTGCCGTCGTCTTCGCTATACGATAGTTTCGACCCATTCCTGTGAATTTGATCTTATTTCCAATATCTACCGTTACTCGAACCTTGCCGCGCTCTCGATTATTCGTTCCATTTTGCTGAAAACAAAGCTCAGACTTATTCTCCATTCATTCTCACTGAAACGAAAAAGAAGCGAAAACTAGAAAGGAATCTGTAACTCATACGTAGTTCCGTAGCGGAAACCTGTGCGCTAACCTGAAACGAGTCTTTCCTGGCTCGAGTTCCATGAGTTCACGAATCGGTGATCGAGGTGGATACGCACAACATTCCTCTATCGTCTGCCTCATCAAATTGAAAAACACTCGCCATACGATATCCAAATCACGATTAGCATCCTTAGAAATCAAAGTAATCGATTGATCCAGATAATGAATGCATGAATCAACCGCGGTGACTTCATCTTACGTTGAAGTACGCGTTCTTGCGGTTGTTTCCCATTTAATCCTTAGCATTCAAACCCAAAGAAACAAAAATGAACCAGTCTACTCACAAGGTACACAGCCCCGGCAACGCTCTCGAAAATATCACTCATTGCTTTCGGCACTTCAATATCCTCCTCCTGACCTTCATCAATTTCTTCTTCAGTTGTCACCATGTACATCTTAAAGAAGAAGGTTGTCACTCTCTACAAGCTCATTATTGAGGTAAGCCACTTATTGCAAAAACATTCTGAAAACTGCGAATGCCAAGTTGTGACGGAGCGGAAGAATGAAGCAAAACATGAGTGCGCTTTGTAGCACATTAACGACAGGGTGGCCCAATATCGGACCAAGCTCATGCGATCCTCTTCCGCGGATGCATGAATCCCGTCCAATTATTTCGTGCACTTCCATACGCGACAGGAAAATACGTGAAATAAAGCTCTACTCCCACCTCATAAATTCTGCAGCTCGCTTTGCCTCATTGTACGCCTCAGAATTGGAGTCCGCGCAGACGGGTTGGATATGCAGCCAGTCTTATCCACGTTATGAGGAGCCTGATGAGCTTAACTTCTCAGCGCACGCAAGTGCGGAAGAATGCGGAGTTCCAAACGATCGAAGATCGCGGATCATAAAGGGGACGGGTGGTACCACCAAAGGGACCGTCCCCCTTGGTACCGCCCTTTGGTCAAAGTATAACGAGGTGAAGGGGATCGTATTTGGTCGAGGAGAAACGAGGGAGCCGTGTGCACACGGGTCAACGTCGCAATGGGTGGAGATCTCCATGGGCGTAGCTGCGTAGGGGATGGTTAAAGCCACAAGGAACCTAAAAAAGTGCAAAAAAACAGAGGACGTCATAGGAAAAAGCTCTTTCGAGAAACCTACACTATTGTCGAATAGCTCGATAAGATATAGAGAAAATCACAGGAGGTGGCCTAGCAGCTTGTATCGACCTCCTTTTAGCCGGATGAGAGAAGGATTGCGCGCCAATAGAGGGCACGTTACGCAGGTCGCATTGGCACATCTTTGCCCACGCAATAACTGATATGGGAGGAGGGGCGCACATCGAGACTCTCTAAGGGGAGTGGGGTCGTAAAAATGAAACCGGACCAACGCGACGGTTCACATTGTCCGGAGTACTTCTGGCACGCAACAGAAACAAATGACGACATTTCTAGCGCCAGTCCAAAGGACTCGATGAGGAAGGAGACGGCAGGTAATACAACCTGCATGTAACGACACGAGAATGCACATTCGTGCAAATCGCACAAAATGCAGAACGAATTTCGTTGAAACTCTTTTAAAACAGCGATTTAATTCTATGGTTTCATCACCATACGAAACTCTGGGCAAAGGTACGCATCGGGACTACTAGATTAATTTCTTCTGCGGGTAGGATAGAGCTGCTAGGAGGGTTACCGGAGAGCAGTCCACACAGCTTAAGTGAACGACAAGGGCTTTATGGTCTGCGCTCTTTCAACTGGATGGTGACTCTTTTCTTTTCCTAGACCTCAAAAAGGATTCAGTTTAGGGATATGCGCAAGGATGAATATTCACTAACAGCTTAAAATGGGAGCTGAAGAGATTGATAAGCCGAACTCTACCTCAGAATTGAAGTTTGCATCGAAGAAATTGCGCTCACTGCAAAGTTTCACAAACTTCTCAATCATGTGATGAAGACCGGGACACATCGCGATAAAGTGCTGAATAATTCTTAATAATACTCAGAGACACCTAGAGAATTCACATGAGAAAATGTAAAATGAAATCACCTTATGGAAATCATACTTCACAGCAAGGCTGGCAAAAATCGTATTATTAACGAGGGCCGAGCGCAAATCTGTCAGCACTCCAGGGCTGTATTGACGCTCATCTTCGAAAAGATATCGCGTGATCATATAATCAAGCACAGCATCACCAAGGAATTCCAAGCGCTGCAGAAAGCAAAAGGAATTCAAAAATGTTTTGCAAAAAATGCAGGTGTGGGCTCACCTGATAACAACCCGTGATTCTATTTTTGAAATAACTAGCATGTGTAAACGCTTGTATCAAATAGGCTTTGTTGTTAAATCGATACCTAGAATCGTGTGTTCGTTCCATTATAAAGTCTACATAGAAAAGGTAAATTCTGTTCCAACCCTATTCGATCTTCCAACAAACTGAAATTAAATTGCTGCCACATATCCTGCAATAGCCGCTCAGCCATATTGGGGCACTCAGGAGTGTTTACAAATCTAAAAGAGAAATGTATTTCCAAAAGACATGGGAAGCGTCGCTTCGTGTGTTCAAACAAAAACGAAAAAAAGCTCTCACTTCAACAATGGGTCGACTCCTACAACATCATCCGTAAGTACCTTCAGACCAAGCCATTTCATAACCTCAAAGAAATTACTGGTTCACTTTACCATTGTAACTTCCCAGAATTGAACGAAAATAAGCTGAGGAAACAGGTGTCCGACAAACTCAAGATAAAGTGAGGTAAAAGAGACTGGCGAATTCCTTTGTAAAATGAGCGGCGTGGCCCATACCCTTTGCGCTAACTCTACTCTCTAGGAAGTTCAAGAAAGCGAGCCAGAAATGAGGGTATCACGCGTATTCAATGAGTATTCCCTTTCGATTTTTTCCCTACTGCACAGCAGTAAGCACGGAGATGTATTACCTTTAGTGTAGGACGAGGTCCCAGAGTTAACAAATGGGCGCGATCAAAGCTTCAACTGCGTCGGCAATGGATTTGTCACTGATGTATTGTTGCGTTAACATATTGTACGGTAATGGTGGCAGTTCATCCAGCGCTGCAGCATTAGCAGACGGCTGTAATCGACAACCATAGTAAACGAGCAAATACGGCTTCGGCAAACGATAAACAGTGGAATACCGTACCTTGGCAAAAATGGTTGTCTCTACACCATTCTCCAATTGTCGCACATCGTTGTTCAAATCTGCTTGATCCCAACCAGTTACTGGTTTAGGCTAGAAGAACAGAGTAAATGTTTGTTCATAAGAGTAAAAGGAATGAAGAATGAAGAGGAATGCTCTCCTCATAGCGGTCCTAGTGCTTTAGGACCGCTAATGAGTCACTGGGCCTTGGAGGATAGCGAACCGATACGGTTCATGGGTTGCGTCTTTGCAGAACACGGCACAGCAGGTTACTTTTACTTCAGCTATTATATATACTTGGTGTAGGTTGTCAGAAGCGCAACCCCAAGAACACGACTTTCAATGAGCCCAAGAAAAAAACAATCAGGGATCAAGGACACGAACAATATTAAAACCAAAGCATAATAAGTAAAAATGGTAGAGAAAAAATCAAAAAAAAAGAAGAAAAATACGCCGCCGAGTAAGCGCTCACCAATTTTTGCGCTGTCTCGTTTCCTTCAAGTACATCTTCGATGAACTTGTCACGCTCTTCAGCATCCTCAGAATTTGGAGCCTTGAAGTCATTGTTAGGCATATAACTGAAAATATTAGCAGTAAGAAAATATAGATCATTCTTCTTTTGCAAAATGAGCCTGAATGAACTAACCATGGAGGAAGCCAAGAATCGTACACATCAAACTTGGAAGCAACAATTAACGACGGTATACCCAACCGTTTACCAAGTCGATACAAGTTGCAATTTGACACCTTCAATTCAAAAAGGAATCAACATCACACCACAGAAGAATGGTGCAATTTCTTCAAGGCTATTGTGCAAAATTGGATTCAAACACATGTATCTCCGCCTTTCGAACTATGGTACTGTTGGTAAGTGTGATGTTTGATTTCCCACCAGAAGCTGCGGAATCCAGTTTTCATCACCTTCAGGCGAGCAAAGATAGCACTTACTTCTTTACTCCGAGCAAAGGACAATTTGCCTTCATGCTGGTCCGGATGTGAATGGTAGAGATAATCTGTGACCGAGTACTTCAAAAACGAATCTCCTATAGTTTCCAACCGTTCCAGATTGATGCCTGAAGTGATATTCATAAAAAGCGAGCTATTTTCAACCATGAAAGCTGCTGATAGTGTTCAGTGATAATTATCATCTTAAGTTTAAGTAAAGATTAAGTAAGCAAATGAAAATACAAAAAACGAACCGTCGTTCGCATTGGATGTTGTGAGAGCCGTCAATAGCAAACGAGGAGAAACACCGTAGGGATTTTCCTTGAGAAGTGACTCGGAATGATAATCTAACGAGACCGTGCCATTTGATACCAAACAAGTCGACGACAGAGACGCCGAAGCAAACGAAAAACGATTCTGCCAGCTGGGCAGTTCTGGGGCAATAATCTCTCCCTTAATACAGATAGATAACTATGCTTGATCTTTTCTCGAAATTTCTTCATTACCTCAGACAGCTTTCGATTGATAACTACAGAATGATCACGCTCATACTTTTGACGCTCACCATCTTCTAACTGAGCGTACTCATCGTCTGAACAGCACTCAACGGCAGTGCTACAGTCCATGTCATCTGCAACAACCGAATTCATCGCAATTGAAAGGCATTCATGCTTACCTTTTTTCAGGAGAAAAAATCTATACTCACCTCCTTCGTCAAACTGCATTAGATCAACTATTTCCTCTTTTTGTGCACGTTCACGATCCTCCAACATTTCCATTTTGTCCAAATACAACTAAAACACCAATATATAACAATACAATCTGTTTCATAATATTTCAATAAAGAAAATGACAGAATCAATGAACACCTACTTTTGTGGGTTCAAGGACAGTAGTGCCAATGTTCTGCAAAGCAGGAGCGGTCGACTTTTTCGGAGGAGTAGGTACACTATCAACATCAACGAGTACGCCGGTCTTTTCTTCTGCAGGCGTCCACACGTTGGGTAAATGGGGCAGAATTTTACTATTGGAGATCAGCCATGAGACTTGTCATATCTATTTGATTCGAAGCGCTGCCGAGAATTTGCTAAACAGAGATTGTTACGCTTAAAAAGAATCCACAGCAAGCCTAAAGTCTACTTTATTATGCACAGCCACAAGTCTACTACTTTCATAATGAACAAGAGGTTCCCAAAAACCGAAACTGAAACAAATGTCTAAAACATACAAATGGCGTATCTGGTACACTATCATCAAAACCACCCCAACCAATCGGCTGAATATCCGGACGTGGAGCTGCGAAATCAGATTTCGTAGCACCTGAAATGAAACAGTGCCTCGGTTAGCATTAGGGGATTACTTTCCGAATAAAGGAGTGAAGTCAGTCTTTGAAATATCAGCTCTCGAAAAGTGAGTACCGAATATTTGCAGCTGCAGATTATTCCTTACCAGCTTTCTCCGCGAGATACTTCGAAAAATCAAACATCATCACTGCATCAGCATCATCATCATCAGATAAATCACCTCCAGTTCGAACTGATGAAGACATTAACCCAACCTTAAGAAAACAGAACAACTACGGCAAATAAATTCACACGTATGGTTGGATTTTACACCGGACAGTGAATATGCGCAAGACTAATTTTGTCTTGTAAATGCTAAAGATCCAATCTAATTGTCAAGCACAGATGTGAATGTTTCTCAAATTTAGGATCAGCACTCAACCCAAATTGATAGTTCTCGGGAAATTGCCATAAAACGTAGCATAAGAGAATAATGAGAGCAGGTTGAGAATTCTTTTCAAAATAGCTTTAAGCAATAAAAACGAGAAGAAGAAAAAACGATGGGAAAAAAGAAGCCACTTCACAGAGCAACACGTTCTGAGAAAATAAGATCAAGAAAGACACGAAAAATGAACCTACAGTATCAAGTGAGTCGCCAGCTGCAAATGATGCTGGTGGTATATTTTCGTCGTTATTCAGCTCGACTACCACTGGCTCCCATACTCCAACTTCAAAGGTGTTCTGAAGCAATCATAATTTAAAAAAACCATGGACCGAACCAGAACACCAGCTAACTAAACATGATTTTCGCCACAAAGCGTCAATCAAAGACACGTCGATCGAAGCACATGGACCCTACCGCTATTAAGGCCTTGATGGGACGTATAATCTTAGTAAGTTACGCTAAAAATAAAGTTCTCGCCGCACAGGACAAACGTCTCGCGATTTACATTGTGAAGGACCAACGATCCAGACGGATGTGGCACATTCATGGGAAGCTAAGAAACTCATCGAGAGGATGAGTTGAAGAGTCATAGCAATACGTTTGCTTTACTACCCCAAGCCCGCTGGGTAGCTTTTGCCCAAAACATGAAGAAATTACAATAGTGGGGCAGGAGCGCCAAGATTATGTATAAATACATTCAAATTAGAGCCACAGAGCGTCAGATTTCCTTTTTGACTACCTGATATCAACACATTCAAATTGCTCAATATTCTTTACCAGTAGGATGAGAAGATTTTGGTAGCAAGAGAAGTTTTAGTCAGTTTCAGCATCACCGAGCTACGTAATTGACGAAATATGTATTGAGAAGAGAGCTACTCTAAATCAGAAAACGCAACGAAGGCACCAGCCGGCTACACCTCATCAAAATGGACAGTCGTTCGCATAACCACAGATAAACTGCTTGAGAAGCTTACAGAAAAGAATAGTATTGCTTCCGTCTGATTTCTTGCTCACAGAAAGCAAATGTATCACCTCTGCCTCGATTTGATCCTTGGTAAGTTTCCCAGCAGCAATTTCAGTAGCGCGATTTTGCTCCCTCAGCTGTTGAATTTTCGTTACGATGAGCGATTGTTTTTCCTCATACGTAGCGGGATAGGAGAGCGGCGTCCATTCGTAATTATCCGGGACTATGGCATCCTCCTTCAATAAAAATGGCTTTATATCGACAGCAAGGAGTGAAATAAAGTAAAGCCCAACCAAACCAAAACCCACTTTGGAATATCCCAGAGCATCTACCAGGGTTTTTTGACGCAACTCGTCCGCCAATAAGAGGTGATTAATCCTGAACAAGTATCATTTGCTATCGTACCACCAGATTTACACCGGCACTCACAAAGGGATTAAACATTACTCACCGGTAGAAAAAACTTGGTAATGCTGATATCAAATTCCACAAAGTGGCCGATATTGGATGTCGATCCATGAGTTCCGGAACATAGATCTGACGCTGTCGAGACAGCGCAGAGTTGTCTTCCGGTTTAGCCGCAGCCGTTTTTCGTCGTCCTCCTCCAGCACGGGGCAGCAACAGGTTCAGACGGCTGGAATGGAGCCTTGATATCTTAAAAGGTTCTCAAAGGGTAAGAAATGATAGTGACGATAAGACGACATACAAAAACAAAACTAAATCTACTTTGAAGTAAAGTCGACGTCGAGTAAATTTTGCTTCTGATCATAAATCTCCAGGTTGTATTTCTTGATGAAATACTCGTTGAAGGAAGAGTACTCTTCATCAGGGAACGGTGACGACGGCGTGAGGTTTTCAAGTATCTTAAAGAATTTCAAAAAAACCTTAGGTCACACAGAACAGAACGTACACCCAACATTCTTGCCCATTCAAATACCCATCAACCAAAGATTTCTACAAAAAACGGCACTTAGAATCAAGCCTTACCTCAGCAACATAGTAAAATACAGGCTGTTCAATATTTCTGTACCACGGCATCACAACGGCATCCCTGTAGTCTTCAGGCCTGAAGCGAGGCATAGAATTAATACTTACAAAATACATGGGTTAATCGCATTATGATAGATAGAAAAATGCTCACCTAAATACAAAATTCCTTCTCTCCTCTTCGCTGGGTATCCTTGGGGTGTCACCCATCATCTGTACCACTTCTTCAACGTACTTCATGTTGATACTGTACTCCCACTTATCATTAGTTGATGAAGCAGCTGAAGGAAAAATAAGAGATGTAAACAGAGGCATCCTTTAATTGGCACTTCGAGTGCAGTAAATTTGAGCCCTGGTATTATTTCCCCTTGACTGACCAGCGTTTCAGAAGTTGACCATCGTTTTCCTTGATTTTAAAACTCTCAGGGGTGCCTTTTGATCAACTTATTTCTGCGCTGTAGTTTCACACGCATAACACGTATGTCACATTCGGTAGAGACAAAGAACGTGGCGCCACTCACAGGCCAGGTCAAGCAAGAAAGCCGACACCTGCGGCGCTCGTGCTGGGCGCTTTCGCGGCAACCGAGCGTGATACTCTGGTTCTTCAGGTCAAACTAAACTGGGAATAAGTTCTCTGCAAAATCGCCTCAGTGAATAATTCGGAGAGGACCGAAAAGCAGAGTTTTGATTTACAATAATCACAATACGCTTTAGAAAAGCCATCCATGGTAAGAGGGAAGTTGCCTTGTTGAGAATATTAGCCAAATTGAAAAACTGCAATGCTGCTTCACATCAACATCAAATTTTTGGGTGAGACTACGGACAAGGCGGATTCTGTGAAGGTGGAACTTACTTCTTCGAAGAGGCACGATGAGCGTATTTATAGGTGTGGATGAGTCGAGATGAAAATCCAGGTTAGCCTTGCACAATTGCAATACATTTTTGAAAATATAGTGGTGAAAATGTTTGATCATTGTGAGATTCTGACTATTTAGCGTAACCTATAATAAAAATATAAGCACATACACGTCAACTGAAAGAGAGCTGGAAAATTAACCTGAGTTGAAGCACGAACAAGGTGCACCCGCATATCACCTTGACGTAGATACGCCGCAAATGACGGAATCTCAAGCAAAATAGTTATCGTTTATTCTTTTCAATAGATTACTGTACCTACACCTTACCTTGGGTAATATTTTTGAGCTTAAAAATCCGAATAAATACTCGTATTCTAGAGGATTTGCAAAGCGACGTCGCTTCGGATTTGACTCCGGTGACGGTTCTTTGAGCAACTCTAGTTCCATGACATAAATATAGCACGGCTCTCCTTTCACGGGAAGTGCTTCGTGCAGGGCTGTCGCGACCTAAGAACAAGTCAATGAACATTTTATTAACTGAGAATCTGGCGGGCTGCTACACAAAAAAAGGCACAACACAATGAAAAGAGCAATTGTAGAGCATACTCGTTTATCATAAAGCTGTTTCCTTCTCGCTGATCCCACTTTAGCGGAGATGCCAGGAGCCCATTCGTCTGGATCTTCATCGAGCTGGCTCAGTAATTCGGCAATAGATTCTCTCCCCACTGGAAGCAAATGGTCGTTAAGCTCACCAGCTTGGTGTAGAACACGACATGCCTGGAATTGAGAGCAGTTCTACTGGCGATGCAGCGGGGTTCTTGAGATACAACATTGGATAATAAAAATGTACAAATATCCAAGCAATAAACACCAACCTCAAGCGCCACAGCCATCTGCGCAAGCTTTTTACTTTCCAAAGGCGTCTCCAGCGCAATCGGCTGCTTCACCGGTGAATTTATCGGTAGCAACAACTCCGCCTTGTAAAGTGTTTTTCCCAGAAAGTTCACAGCATTCAAACGACTTTGAGGTACAAGTCGAGTGAAAATATCAGACGGCAGTTTTGCACAGTATCTGTGAAATGAGCTTCATAACGGGTACTGTTGGAGAAATACCAATGGATTCGCTAACCTATTCACTAGCCCTATCGCAGAAGACAAGGAAACCTGCGCACCAGTAGATGGCACAACGTATGGAGGTATTAGGGTATCCACGTTTTCGGCGATCCCAACTTCATTGTCACCGTCATTACCTGGATTGTGAACACTGCGACACCGACGCAGAAGCATCTGAAAGGCAAACAGCAAAAACAGTTTGAAGCAAAGCATTGAATATAGTTCCATGAGCGTTAAAAAGGTTTATATAAGCACCTTCTCAATCTTGACAAAATCACGGAGATCTTCGGAGCATTTCGTGCTATCTGATTTATCAACCAATATGAAGTACTTTGCTCCTCCATCGCGTTTACGAGCTCGCCCTTTCGACTGAAATGTTATAATTCAAAAGATGGAGGATTTTTGAGTACTGGTGAAATGGTAAAAAAAACACGAAATATCTGAAAAGAAAATTAGGGGGAGCTAGCCGATATTGAGTGATTTTCGCGCAAGATCACTCTCTCAAAAAATCCCAAACAATGATGAAATGCAAGTCAAAGAAATATCTTTCGGAGAGGAAGAAGCCTTAAAGAATTCAACTGAACTTCAAGCGGGAAAGAAAAGAAACTGGATAAAAATGAACCGTTGGTCCAGTATCCATGAGTAAAGAATCGAGTTTGAAGAAACCCTTTCCTGTAATCTTATCCTAAGTACTAGATAGTATTTCCCCAGACTCTCCAACACAGGGACATATTATGTAGTGCTCCGCTGCAGTTCCCGATGGAGCAAGGCCTTGAAACGACGGGACAGTCTAAATGTTAGCCGAAATCGCCATAGCAGCCTCGAGGCAGAGGTATAATTTTCAACCACATTAAAATGCCGAATGGTAGGTGTGGGGCAAAAATCGCGAATCGGATCCGTAGAGCATGTATGAGAAGGCGAAGTGTCTTGAGCGACGTTGGAAGTTCTGTTCACTGATCTCTACCTCATAACATAACGACGCGAAAGCGTCCTAGCATATGAAGGAACCAACCTGGATGTAGGATCGGTAGTCAATCGGTCGGTCAAACTTAATCACCAGGTTACAATGACGGACATCGACACCCTCTTCCAGAACACT